ACAAACAAAAAAAGAGAATCTCCATTCATGAAAAAACACCACTAAAAAAGTAAAAAGGCAAGCTACAGATTGAAAAAAGGGAAACGCAATACATATATACCCTAGAAAGGATGCATATCCAGAATAAAGTATTACAAATCAACAGAAAAATAAGCATATCAGTGAAAACCGGATAAAAAGATTTAACAGGCCCTTCACAAAACAGGACATATAAATGATAATAGAAGATACTCAGTCTCAATGAAACCACACTGATATGTTACTGCATCCCTACAAGAATGGCAAAATCATTTTTAACTGCCAGACATCAGCAAGGACGTGGGGTAACAAGAATATCCCTGTTAAATGGTTCAACCATTTTGGGAAAATGTTCAACAATATGTAACACTAAAGTTTTATCATTCATATACATCTGAAATCAACAATGCCACTCCTACAAATAGACCCCAGTCTAGTCATGCTCTATTTCTTCATCTGTGGTGGCTCACTTGGTAAAAATTCATTCCCTTTTGGATTTTTGTTTTCTTTTTGTTTTTGTTTTTGAGACAGGGTCTCACTCTGCCATCCAAGTGGGAGTGCAATGCCATGATCATGGCTCACTGCAATCTCAGCCTCCGAGCTCTGGTGATCCTCCCACCTCAGCCTACCGGGTAGCTGGGACAACAGGCACACACCACCACACACAGCTAACTTTGGTATTTTTAGTAGAGACAGGGTTTTGCCACATTGCCCAGGCTGGTCTGGAAATCCTGGACTCAAGTGATCTACCCACCCTGGTGTCCCAAAGTGCTGGGATTACAGGTGTGCTCTACTGCGCCCGGACCACCTGCACTTTTAAAATAGTCAACTTCCTCTGTATACTTCAGTACCTTTTCAAAGATTTCTTTCACTCAAAGTTCTCAGAAATCTTAAAGCTAGTATTTCAGAAGAGAAAAAAATAGCTTCTGGTTCACCGGTGAAGTTTTACTAATAAAATTGAAAAACAAAAAGAAAGGATGAACAACACTGTAACCCAAAGAAAAGATACCACTTGAGAAAAGACTTCTTTTCCAAAGCAGCTCTAGCAGCAAAAGACGGGAGGAAAGCAAGGAAACCATGCCAAACGTCTTGGTTAACTCGTCAGTGAAAGGACGCCCAATGAGATGATCTAAGAAGTCAGAAAGAAAGACCGACAGACAGACAGACACAGGGAAATCACAGCAACCCTTTGCAGTGCAAACACCAACCCCAAAATCCATCCTACTGGAAATCCTGCGGTTAATTTGAGGCTTGCCCTGCTAGTCATGAGGTGATTCGGGCATGGCCACAAACGCTCCTCATATGCATCCTGGACCTGGCACACTTGGCTTGCCCATCGCCAGCCTGGAGGCACCGCCAGGGGCAGAATCCCGGAGGCCAATAAAGACTCCAACTTTGCAAGCACAGGGAAGCGATTTCTGGACTCGAAGGTGGGGTCCGGGGTCAGTGTCCTCTACAGGATATAGGAGGACGTGCCCCCGAAGCTGCTCCGTCCCTCCACCGCCCGCGATGCCACAGAACACCCGCCAGCGACTTTCTTCCCCAGCGCGCACCAGAGGTGGGCTGCGGGCGGCAGCAGCAGGGGAAGAATCGAGCTCAGGGAACTCAGGCCACGGCCGTGCACCCCCCACATCCACCACCCCTCGCGCAACAAAACTCGCCACCGCCGCGCCTCAACCCAGCTGTGCGCCCGCGGGTCCCGGATTCACCGCCCGCCCAGCCGGGGCGTCCTCACCTCGGAAACGCTGGGTGGACTTCGCGGTAACTTCCCATCCAGAGAGCAGCCTGTAGTCGCGCCGCTGCGCCTCGGCCCAGCTCCTGGCGCAGCAGGTCGCCAGTCCCGCGTTCCAAAAGCGCCATGCTCACTCAGAAGCTCAGGCAGCCTCGCGACCCTCACCTACGCCTCCCAGTACCGCCGCGGTCTCAACCGCCAGCCAGTCCCGCGCCCGCGCCAGCTCGCGACTGGCGCCTCAGAATCGCGTCAGAACCCAAGGCGCAGGCGCGGCGGGGTCTTAAAGGGACCGGGCCGCTTCCGCTGCATAACGATTCCAGCAGGTTAGGGGTCTCGCGGGCCGAGAAAAGGAGTAACCGAGGGGATGGACCCAGTGCACCGGGGATGGGGAAATCTCTCTCTCCCCTCCGCCTCTCTTTCAAAGCACCAGCCCTCCACTCTGCGAATCGCCGATTTTCGCGCCCACTTGAACAGTCCCTGCCAGGTTGAAGAGGCAGGACACACACCCCCTCAGAGGCCAGGAGCGTCCCCGCGCTTAGCACTGCAGGCCTCGCGCTGCCGCCCTGCCCCGGAGTCTGACTTTCAGGCCCAGGCTCGCCGTGCAGAGGCGCAGGCTTCCGAAGGCAGCCCCCAGCTCCCCCGACAGGTGGCCTTAGGTCACTCCAAAAACAATACCCAACGTGTCAATGGCACTTGTAGTTATTTTCCAATTTAAGTTTATAACAGATTCTGCAGCTCGGCTTCCACAGAAATAAGCCTTTGAGAAAAAGAAAAACCTTTTTTTTTTTTAACAAGAATTCGAAATATCAAGAAATAGGAAATAAAGTCATGCCGTCCACCCAGCTAAACTTTGAAAACTTGGTGTTTTATCTAAGGCAAATGTTTGCATAACTTTAGGTCGTGCCATTATTTAAAACCAATTTCAATTAACAATTTCATTGAATTGAATCTATCTTGTATAAGCAAACAAAGATACATCCCTGATAATCTACCTCTCCCCTCCTATATTCCATCCATCAGCAAGTCCTACTGGTTTTTACCTTCCAATTTTTCCTTGAATGTGTCCTCTTCTGTCTCTTCCATCAGCACCCTAGTCCAGGCTACCCCTGGGGAGTGGGGGGAGGGACTACTGACCTAGTCTTGTGGTTTACCATATCCACTTTATCGCCTCTTTAATCTCAACACAACTGCACAGTAGTTTTTCAAAATATAATGTGACCCTGTCCCTTCCCAGCCTAAACCACTTAAACGCCTTCCCATTCTCTTAGACAAAACCTCCTAACTAACCAAGCCTCGAATGGCCTTTTCTAAAGGAGGAACAATATTTCTTGACACATGAAAATGACAGAAAATTCACATTTCAGTGTCCCTAAACAAAGTGTGACTGGAACCCACACCCCTCCGTTCATGCGCTGTTTGGGGCTGCTTCCTCACTACCCCGGCAGAGCCAAGTAACTGCAACAGAGACTGTGTGGCCGGTAAAGCCGGAAATATTTACCATTTGGGCTCTTTACAAAAATCTATTTGCCAACCTCTGACCTAGTTCATGAAATCTGTACCTTTTGTTGTTTGCAGATTCCTTTGAGAACTGGACAAGGACACCAGCTCCTCTCCTTGGAGAAATGTGAGCCTGAGCGTGCACACAAATGCACGCAGACTTTTGCACAGATTCAGGGATTCAAGG